TCCGAATGGCACCTTGTCTTAATACCAACACCTTGAGGTTTACTTGCAACATGATTTTTTTATTAATTAATTTTATTGGTACATTTAAGGTATACAATATATAATGACACTCGTCACTGGAAATTTGCACCTTCGCATAATCCAGCTTGGTACTCATTTTTTCCCCATCCCCCTGCCATCCCTTCAACCTCTCTGCCCCTCCCTAGCTACAAAGACTGTTTCCATTTTTTCTTTTTCTCATGTCAATTCCATTCCTCTCTTTCTTTTCCCCTACTCCTCCTATCTCCCCTTGCACCTTTTCTTCCTATTTCACATTACCTATTATAGCTTTTAGTCTTTATTTACACTTTCAGTTTCTCACACTGGAGAAACTATTTGGTATTTACACACGTGTGTCCTATGTATTTCACTTAAGAGTATCGCCTCAATGTGCATCTATTTAGCTATAAATGTCTCTAGCTTCTCGTTCTTTATGTCTGAGTAGTACTCCATTTTATAAAAAAAAAAAACCCACATGTTCTTTATTCAGCCTCCTGTTGATGGGCAATTCGCACTGCTTCCAAGTTTTAGCTATGACAAATTATGCTGCTATGAACATGAGTGTGCATATGGTATGATTCTTTCAACACTTTGGGGAAGACACCCAGCAGAGGAATAGCTGGGTCAAATGGGACCTCCAATCCTAGTTCTGTGAGGTACCTCCATATTGATTTCCACAGTGGTTGCACCAGTCTGCACTCCCACCAGCAGTGAAGCAGGATTCATTTCTCCCCACAACCCTGCCAGCATTTGTGATTGGTTGATTTCTTGATAGCAGCCATACTTTCTGGGGTGAGGTGGAATCGCAGTGTTGTTTTCATCTGCATCTCTCAAATGGCCCGTGATGTTGAACATTTTTCCATATGTTTATTTGCTGCTTTTACTTTTACTTCTATGTCTGAGAAATGTCTGTTCATGTCAGATGCCCATTTTTGTATTGGGTCTTTCAATTTGGGAGGTCTTGTTTTTTAAAGTTCTTTATATATTCTAGATAGTAGACCTTTGTCTGAGGAAGAGCCAAATTTTTGAGGGACATACACATTCAAACCGTAACACATAATTAGGTAGTGAATTTATAATGTTCATTATTATGCTAACATATGAAGAAACTAAGCGAAGTAACTTGAGCAAGTGAATGGGATTGAGAGACAAGATTTGAAATCATCTATGAAATCTGCATTATTTTTAATATACCACATTGCTCACATAAATCCACAGCATGGAGAGCAGTAAGTCAACTGAGCAGCAGTAGATGGTGGTGATAGCATAAGGCACTACATGGAACTGAAGAGCTTGAGCACAATACTGATGAGGAGGACAAGTGATAAACTTTCATGTAGCTTTGCTATCTTATCTCTGTCCCCAGCGATATTCTGAGTCTTACCCCCACCCCCAGGATTGTCCCTTACCATGACTGCAAACTGAGTCTTGCCCCCGACACAGGCCTGAGCCCATGCTCAACAGTGACTCCACTGCGGCTTGCTGCCTCAGGCTGTGAATGGTTTTGTGGACCTCTTCCCCACCTCCAGTGATACACTTTAATGCATCTATTGTGCAGATATTCATTTGCCAGTATCATCTTCCTGAACAAAAGATAGCAGAGAGTTCTGCTAGCAGTTATTTACTTGACAAGCAGCTATGGAGTACCAACTCTGTGCCAGGCACTGCGCTGAGTGACTCGAAAAGCTGACAGGCAGAGACGGGTAGAAAAACTGGTGGTTTCAATGTGACACTGAGATTTATGGGAGCCTGTGAGGGGTTCAGAGTGAGCAATCAGAATAACATTCCTGGCCTCATGGGCCTTGATTGACTCCAGAATGCATTCGAACAGTGGCGGTTGATCCTCTTGGCAGAACAGCAGGCCCACAGAGTGTGGTGTGCAGGTACAGCTATAGCTGTCATCGATAGGTCAAAGTCACTGTGGGCAAGAGTAGCCTGAGAACGAAGAAAGATGAGATGTTGGGTCTCTAACTAGAAAAACAGATGTAATTTGGTTAAGTGGAAAGAAGGGTTAGATTTTTAAATGATTCTCCTGAGTGTCCAGCTCTTTAAACGTTGCCTTAAATGAATACCTTCAATTTGGTGCTGCTTTGCTTTAATTTGTGTTGGTTTGCTTTTGTGCCCCCCCCAACTTACTATATGCATTTTGTACACTAGGCAAGGTGAGAAAAAAAGGACTGTAGTAAAAAGAAGAATGAAATAAATACTTTAACTCAGAGCCATTCAATAGAACTTTCTGCAGCCACATGCAGCTGCTGAGTAACTGAAACCTGGCCAGTTTGCCCAAGGATGTGAATTTTTAACTTTCTTTAAAACATGGTCAGTAGCTACTGTATTGGAAAGCAGTGCCCTTAACCACATAGCAATGACCATTACACATCCTAGTAGAGGTGCAATTGAACACAGAGACCTATATTAATTTAGTTACCAGGGATGCTTACTTGGCTATGCACAGGCTTACTCAGTCAAGGATTGGGCCACCAAGTTTCCTAAAAATGACTCTGCAAGGTCTTCTGGTACATTACCTCATTCCATCCCATAACAACCCTGAGGAGAGTAGGGCAGAGATTAGCATCCCCATGAAGCCCAACAAATTTAGGTGACAGCAACAAAGCCCTACAGCAGGTAAGAGCTGAGCCTAGAGGTCATGCGTTTCTCCTCCTGGCTGCAACTCTTTCCAGGGGAACAGCAAAGGAAGGATGATCTCATGTATCCGTATCCGGGGCTTACAGCCTGGGTCTCTCAGATGAAGAGATACTTGCTTCATATTCCTTTTGCACACTTGACGTGGCTAATGGGATCATAGATCATTAACAAGAATCCTGTCTTATTCCCTTCCCACTCCCTTGATTCAAGCGATAGGAATGTATTTGAAAAGTTCAGTTTTATATTCCAAATTACATGTTGAAGTGGGGTATTGTGCTGCATGCCTATAATCCCAGCACTTGGAAAGCTGAGGCAGGAGGATCACCACGAATTCAAGGCAGCATGGGCTACATAGTGAGTTCACAGCCAGCCTGAAGTACAAAGCCAGACCTTGACTCACCCAGCCACCAATTACATATTTAGCACGGATCATGTCCTTGGTACTGTTGTAGGTCTGGAAAAACAGCCATGAATAAAGCAAAGATTCGTCTCCTGTAGAGGAGACAATTCTGGGGGAGGGAGGCTGTTAATAAATAATGCACATACTGGAACTTTGTTACATGTCAAAAATATTTCATAACAATATACCATGGTTTCTCAAATCTTGTATGGCACACATAAACACTATCCAATGTATCTTTCTGGACTTGTACTTCAAGCAAACTGCCTGACTTTCTGGAAGGTGGAAACACCTTTTCATTCAGCCTTTTAATATGTGTTGAGTGCCACCTATGTGCAGAGTAGGATATTGGGAACTTTGGAGAGATCAAGAAGAATGAGAAGACAGCGTCCTGTCTTAGGGGAATTCCAGTCCAGTACAAGAGGCAGTCCCTTTCCTTGGGAGTGTCCAGAATGTCAGGACTAAGAATCTATTCTGAAAAGGCAAACGACTTCAGAACCCACTTATAAAGGGGAATCCCAAGTACATATGGAATGAATCCAGCCTAAACTGTGGGGAGCTGGGTAAACTCTCACCGTCTTATGCTGATGAGGAACTAGATGGGGACAACTCCCCAGAACAAGAAAGGGGACATTGTAAGAGCTATCACATGCCCTAAGAGCGAGGAGGAACTGAGGGGCAGCCCCTCCTGGATACTGTTTTTTTGGGAAGGTTCCTAGATCCTAGGAGAATTGAGAGACTGCTGCAAGAATGAAGAAATCATGCCTAGGGGCATTCCAGGTAGAGCGGGCCTCCTGGCAGATGGCAAGGGAAAGCAGGGTTTGTGCCTTCGACACAAACCTAGGCAAATACTCCTCATCCCAATCCAGTCAAGGATACAGAGGAGAGGAGGACCACTGTGTTGGGACTTCTCGACCAAATCCTTCGGGATGCAGTCACAAGGCAGAAGGACCACGGTCAGGGTCCGAGATGGATGGGTTGAATGGGGGCAGCCCAGGCGGGGTCCTGAGATCTTGGGTTTCTAGACAGCTGTTAAAGGAACGAGGTGAGAAAGAGTTAAGTGTGCCCCTCCACTACCCAAATGCTTCCTGTGTTTGAAAGCCTTAGGGTCTCCACAAACTCTCTGGCCCCCGGCCAGGCGGGCATTGTACCAGGAGCAGTTGTGGATTGTCTGTTGTCCGAAGGGCTTCGAAGCCTTTGTTGTGGGGCCACCACGGGGTTCCCTCTAGAGTCCTGGCTGGGGCGGCACGTTGCGTGCCGGGATAGGGATTGGCCCAGGGCCTCGTGCATGCCAAGACCCTACCACAGACTCACACCCCAAGCCCCCATTCCCATGCAGCACCTGGGAAATGCTTGGAATGTTGCAGCCCATGTGCTTGACATCCTCGTGTTCCTAGGTTAATCTAACGTGGCTTTGATTGTTTTCTTATTTTACAAAACCATATTTGTTTTTTATTTAGGATTGTGCTTCTATGACTCTTTTTGTCTGTTTCCTTTTTTTTTCATACTGGGGATTGAACTCAGGACCTTGTGCTTGCAAGGCAGGCGGCGGCACCACTGAGCTAAATCCCCGGTCTTGTTTGTTTCCTTTGTGTGTGTGTGTGTGGTACTGGTGATTGAACTCAAGGCCTTCACATTGAGCTACAGCCCTTTTATTTTATATTATTATTATTTTATTTTGAGACAGAGCTCACTAAGTGGCCCAGGCTGGGCTCAGGTTTATGATCCTACTGCCGCAGCCTCCCAGAGTTCTAGGATTGCAGGCCTATGCCACCATGTCCAGCTATGTTTAAAAGAATTAACCTTGGGCTGGGGATTTAGCTCAGCGGTTAGGTGGACTGCCTTGTAAACGCAAGGACCCGAGTTCAATCCCTCGTAGCCCTCCCGCTCACCCGTGCCTCCCCTGGCTCCCCAGTTGCAGCCGGCGCGCTCTGTTGCCTCCGCCCCACTTGAGCTCTCCCCGCCTCCCCGGGAGCTGGGCGCAAGCCCTGCAGGAGCAGCCACGCGCCTGCGGCAGATTGACAGGGCGCCGAGGGCCAAGGGGCAGCCGGCCACTGGGACCGCTTCTTCCAAGAAAGGTTGTGGGAGGTTCCGCGGGGCCTCTGCCATCCCTAGCCAGGCGCCTTGCCTCTCCTGACTGCCCACTACAGTCCGAGGCGCTCAGGGCCACAGGCTCGCACCGGGTGCCCCACTCTCTGCATCCCACGTGGTGGGGGGATGAAGCATGCCCTGCTCCTCTGGCGGATCAATGGAGGGAGCTGAGCTGCGCTGCGTGGGCTGAGCTCTCCCTCACATGGAAGGTCTGTGGCTCCTGGAAGCTAGGGGCCACCGGCCAGGGGATGATGTGCCAAT